ATCAGTTCTTGGGGATGGGACCTGGAAATGTGCATTTTCCGAGGCCGCCCAGGTGAGGCTGTTGTCGGGTGAAGGCTGAGAACCGCAGCTGGGCGGGGCCGGGCCTCTCGGCCCCGCCCTTCCCTTTGGCGTCCTGTTCTCTCTGGGCCTTTTCCCTGTGGCGGCCGCTCTTTGCGGCGTCAGTTACTTGATGGAGGGGGTGAGGAGGGTGAACAAGTAGGCTGGCTTCACCAGGTGTCCGTCGAATTAAGAAAAATGAAGAATGATGCCAGCTGCCATTTTGTGAGGTCTTTGTCCCTGTCTTCTTAAAGTCTTCCTTAAATCTCCCGGTGAGGAGTCCCCTTTGATAGAATACAGAGGAGGAAGAGAGCCCAGCGAGGTCGAGGACTGCTGGGAAGATGCTGCAAAATGCAGATTGCGCTCGGGCTCTCTGACCCCAGAGACCGACAGCCCTCCACCCTTTCCTTCACTGTTCGCGCGCGTTGTAATCCTGACCGCTCAAGGCTAAAGAACGATAACAATTAACTTGAGCCGTATGCCTGGCATAGTGCCTGATGTAATATACACCCTCAGTAAATGTTTTTTTTCTCAGTGTTTTAATGAATTAATATGATCAGTGGACTCGAAGGTCCTCTAGTTATTAATTTGTGCCAAAAACAATTATAAAATGCCTACTGTGTGTGTGTGGGGGGGGCTGTGTCAGGTGTCTGGGGTGCATATACGAATTAAACAAGCCCTGACCACAGGTGTATGCCTCCTGACCCTGCATTGGAATCACCTGGGCAGCTTAAACAATTACCATCCCTGCCCCATTTTAGACCTTTGAAATAAGAGTCTGGGGTGGGACCTGGCTATAAGCTGCCCTGATGATTTTAATGCGCTGGCATAGTTGAGAACCTCTGATTCAGTGCATGAGAGAAAAATGCAAATAATTATTTAAAAGTGATGATTACCATGATAGAAATATGCACCGTTGATACAGGGGCCCAGAGGGAGTGGTGCTGACAGTTGGAAAAAAAAAAAAAGATTTCTGTTTGTTATTGGCATGGAAGATCACTCCTCCTTTAGAATTTGCCACTTTGGAACTAATTGATTTCCTAAACAGTGACGTGGATTCAAATTCAACTCATGTATCTGGAATTCCAGGTATTTGCGTATATGTTCTAGTATTTAATCTGCATTTTTAGGAGTAGCCTTGTCAAGTTGCGGATCTTGGTGTTGGGAAGCACTTTTGGAAGCACAGAGAGATGGAAAGGCTTCCTGTAGTTTAAGGTGGGGGGGGCAGGGGGGGAGGTAAAGGAATAAGAAATATATTTGTGATGGGTCAGACTCTTTGCTGGGCACTTGAGATAAATGGCTGTGTTTAAATCCTCATAACAACTGTGTGAATTTTTGGAGTTAGTTTCTTCATTTTATAGACAGGGAAACTAAGATTCAGTGATGCTAAATAATTTGTTGGAGGTCACAGGGATACTCAGTGTGAGGAGGTGGATCAACTCTTTTTACCTAATGGCTCAAAGCTGTAGGATGGTTGGGGGATTTTGTGGTTAAAAAACCAAAAACATAGGTGCCACAGGTCCCAGGAGACAGAGTATAATTAATGCTGGGGTCACTCAGCATATGTCGCCAAGATATGCAATTTATTTGCTGGAGGAATGCCGTAGACTCAGAGCTCTTTTCTGTCTTGAGAAAGTTACCACATCCTGATGTTGAGAAAACTATTACAGCGGTTTTGTTTGGACACAAGGCATTTGCCTCACATTGCTGGAAACCACTTTTCTGACATGTGCTTTCCTTCTGGCTAAATGAAGTTCTCCTCTTGGTGAAACACAAGAGATCTGTTAAGAGTGTAGGCGTAGGATCGGAGAGCTGGGTGCAAGCCTGGGTTTTGCCACTCACTAGCTGTGTGACTTGGGGAAATTACTTTACCTTTCTGGGTCTCATTTTTTCATCTGTAAAGTGGGAGTAACAGTAATTGTGTATGCCTCCTAGGATTGTGTAACTTAATCCATGCTAAGTTTGGAACACTAAGTGCTTAGTACTTCCTGGGTCTTTACTAGGACAGATAGTGGTAATTAGGTCTTTGTGTAAGGTTTGCTTTGGGGGATCACCAGAACGCTCCTTTGAGAGGAAGGACCTTTGATGGTAGGAAGTAAAGAAATATTACTGACTTCATTGCTCCTTCCTGATCAAATCCAGGAAATGATTAACTACATAAACTATTCCATCCAGGTATGTAGACGCCCTGGTGTGATAGATATTGTCAAAAGCAGCTCTGGCAGAACTGAGACTTTGCTTTGCCTTCTCTTAGTAATAATTTGGGGTTTTGTGGCCAAATTGGACAAGGATGATTTGATTTTTGATGTATTTGGACTTGGGGCATTAGGAAGTTTTGGATGAACTGGGTTAAGAAAGAGCTGACTATTTAGGTACAGAGTCTATTTCAGCTTTTTTTTTTTTTATAAATAACTTTATTCAAGTATAATTTACATCACATAAAATACATCCACTGTTAATGTACAGCTGACTGATTTTTTTAAAGTAGATTTATAGAGTTTGTGCAGCCATCCCCACGATCCAGTTTTTGAACATTTCCATCAGTCCCAAAAGTTCCCTCGTGCCTGTTCGCAGTTCATTCCAGGCTGTCACTGGTCTGCTTTCTGTTTTCATAGGTTTGCCCTTTCTGGAAATTTCGTATAAATGGAATCATAAAATATGTTGTCTTTGTATCTGCCTTTTTTCGCAGCATTTTTTTAATTTAAAATTTTTTAATACAATTTTTAAAGGTTACTTTCCATTTACAGTTATTACAAAATATTGGTTATATTCCCTGTGTTGTACAGTACATCCTTGAGCTCATCTCACACCCAGTAGTTTGTACCTTTTGCTCCCCAGCCCCTATTTAGCACCCCCACCCCCCACTGGTAACAACTAGTTTTGTTCTCCATGTCTGTGAGTCTGCTTCTTTTTTGTTAGCACAATGGCTTTAAAGTTCCTTTTTATTGCTTAATAGAATTCCATTGTGTAGATATACCATATTTTGTTTATCTGTTCACCAAGATGGACACTTGGATTATTTCCAGTATTTGACTATTGTAAATAACACTGCTAAGAACATTCAAGTCTTTGTATAGACATATGCTTTTATTTCTCTTGTCTACTGTGAGGTTTTTTTTTGGCTGCGTTGGGTCTCTGTTGCTGAGCACGGGCCTTCTCTAGTTGCGATGAGCGGGGGCTACTCTTCGTTGTGGTGCGCGGGCTTCTCATTGCCGTGGCTTCTCTTGTCATGGAGCACAGGCTCTAGAGCACAGGCTTCAGTAGTTGTGGCATGTGGACTTAGTAGTTGTAGCTCGCGGGCTCTAGAGTGCAGGCTCAGTAGTTGTGGCGCACGGGCTTAGTTGCTCCGCGGCATGTGGGATCTTCCTGGACCGGAGCACAAACCTGTATCCCCTGTATCGGCAGGCGGACTCTCAACCACTGCGCCACCAGGGAAGTCCGGCAGGTGGATTCTTAACTACCGTGCCACCGGAGAAGTCCCAGACCACTGTCTTTTCCCTCCTGTGCCTCAGTTTCCTCTTCCGTAAAGTGGCGACATAGTAAGAGCCCATGTGGTCGGGCATAATATATGCAGGGTAGATACGAGCCCTCACAGAACGTCAGAAATTGCTCTTTGCACAGCCTGGACGAGGGACCAAGCCTCATGCGGACTCTTGCACTGGGTAACACGATCTCCTCTTCTTTCTAGAACTTTGTAGAGAGTCTGGTTGAGTAAGAACTCTGGCCAGAAAATGGCCACAGAGGACTTGACTCTGCCAGAAGCTCTCTCAGACCTCAAATGACTAAATCTGTAGTGGCAGGGCTGCTGCAGGCCACGTGCTCCTTTGCAGAGGTGCTCACGCCACGCCAGGACGAGGGTGCAGCAGTGATGTGAATTCACTGTTGATGTGGACGAACAGTGCCCGCGTACGGAGTTCTTTATACAGATGTGTTTATTCAGTGGGAAGTTCTGAACTTTTGATTGAAGCTGTCACTTCTGATTTGTGATGTTAAAATGCCTGTCTCTGTTGACATCATGGAGGGTAGTATTAGGTATACAGTACAGTTGATTCTCATTACTTGCAGTAGTTTTGTTCTGTGAAGTCCCTGCCAGCACTGAATTAGCGGACAGTGAACCACAGCTCCTAGGGGGAAATATAGGGTTAGGTTCCTGCGAGCCTTGGGTTACAACATTTCAGTCGACTGATCAGTAGAGAACCCTGTGTTAGGTATATTTCTGTTGAAAGACATGGTATTTAAATATATTGTTGATTCATTAACATTGAGCTCATGACCAACAGCACTGCAGCTCATGCCTTGAAGGAAGCTTATATGTAACACATGTGTTTTTCTCCATGAGGCACATCACAGGCTTCTTGCTCTTAGGAACGCTGACCGTGCTGGGACCATTTTAAACAGTGAAATAGATAACAAAAAGCACAGAAATGCAGGACACATGGCACTAAACAGGCCATGAAGAGGACACTTTTGTACAGTATGAGAGCGGAGACGAGAAGGCAGATCCTCGCCCCGTTCAGCCTCAGCTGGGAGTGTGTGTGGGTGACTCGGATTGTTTTTTTCCACGCTGAGCATGTCTGTGAATGACCACGAGAGTGCTCTGAGCATTGATTTTTGAGGTTACGAATTTTAGGCAGTAGGTGAATTGGCAAAAACAAATATCACAACTCAGAAGGATGGGCTGTATGTAGGGGTGCGTGTGTTTTCAGTGTCTTTCTGTTGGCGCAGTGGACGTGGTATTAGGTATGCAGTCCTAATACCTAATATTAGGTGTTAATGTTGGGGGGTGGGGTGTGTTGGGGGGCATATGGGGGATTGTGCTGGGGAATGAAATGCATAGACCCCAGCCCTTCCCCTCTCTGTGATGGAGAGCTGCATTAACAGCTCTCTGCTCCCTTGGATGAGAAGAGTCAGAGCAGGCGTTGGCAGCGGCCCATCAGGAAGTGCTCTGTGCGTCCTCTGCCAGCCCAGCTGCACTTGTGCCATCCACTTCCTGTTACAGAATCCCTGCCGTGGGCCCTCCCCTGTACTGACCAAACCCGGACCAGGTGCTCCCTGCCCATGCCAGGCACAGGCAGTGACACCAGATGTGAAATTACAAACCCAGGTGGAGATGCTGAAGGGTAGAGCGTGGATACAGGTGCCACTCTTGCCGGGGCTTCCCTGAGGAAGGCCAGTGAGCCACCTGGGTGCCAGTCCCTAAGGAAGCAGGGTGGCCATTTGACCTTGACCTCGGCCACCCATGCAACAAGTAGAAAGGAGGAGGCGGGGTGTCGAATGATCCGTCTTTGGACTTTGGGCTGTCGCTTCTCAAAACAGAAGTTTCTTCTAATATCTCTACCCAGATGCACGTGATGAAAATCATTAACTAGGGCTGGCCAGACTTGATGGCCACCTTTGGGAATGGACATGAAGTGCCTGGAGCTTCCCTCCTAAAAGTGAGTGGACTTTGGTTTAATTTAGAAAGAAAAAGACTCATTGTAACATATTTTTTGATGACTTTTACCTAAAGAGATAGAATGGTGCTGATTGTTTTTAAAGCTCGCGTCTTTTATTTATGTGACTTTGAAAGATTGATTGAGGTATTCAGAGCTTGGCCTGTGGGAAGCTTCGCCAGAGATCACTTTAGGTGGCTCGTGGCCAAACATTGAAAGGCTAGCAAATATGTTTATAGTTCCTTCTTTTTGTGCCAAGTGATACTTGTTTTCTCTTTGTAGTAGTGACAGGAAGATTTCTTTTAGAATACATTTCAGTAAAAAACACAGAGTTGATTTAAAAGTATGAAGTCAGTAATAGCTGGGTAGGTTTGTAGACGTGCCCACGTCATGCCTGACATTTAGGAAGTGGTGGCCTGTGCTAATAACGTGGTGCTGTTGGTCTAAAAATATAATGTTATTGTTACAAAGGGGAAAGAAAAGGGGTAAGCTGGTTGTGCTAATAGATTAAAAATTCTTTTCTTAAAAAAATTATGAAGTATAGTTGATTTGCAGTGTTGTGTTAGTTTCTGCTATATAGCAAAGTGAGTCAGTTATGCATATATATATTCTTTTCCATTATGATTTATTACAGAATATCGAATATAGTTCCCTGTGCTCTACAGTAGGACCTTGTTGTTTATCCATTCTGTATATAATAGTTTGCAGCTGCTAATCCCAAACTCCCATTCCATCCCTTGCCCATCCCACCAACCCCTGAGCAACCACAAGTCTGTCTTCTGTGTCTGTGAGTGTTTCTGTTTCATGGATAAGTTCATTTAGGTCATGTTTTAGATTCCACATATAAACAATGTCATACGATATTTGTCTTTCTCTAAGTTATTCACTTAGCATGATAATCTCTAGGTCCATTCATGTTGCTGCAAATGGCATTATTTCATTCTTTTTTATGGCTGAATAATAACATTGTGTACATGTACCACATCTTCTTTATCCACTCATCTGTCGACGGGCATTTAGATTGCTTCCGTGTCTTGGCTATTGTAAATAGTGCTGCTATGAACATTGGAGTGCATGCATCTTTTCGAATTATGGTTTTGTCCGGATATGTGGCCCGGGAGTGGGATTGCTAGATCATATGGTAGTTCTATTTTTAGTGTTTTGAGGAACCTCCATACTATTTTCCATAGTGGCTGCACCAACTTACATTCCCACTAACAGTGTAGGAGGGTTCCTTTTTCTCCACACCTTCTCAGCATTTGTTATTTGTAGACTTAAAAATTCTTTTTGTTTTTCCAAGTTGTCCATGAAAAACATGATTTATTTATTTATTTAAAAATTTTTTTTTGCGGTACGTGGGCCCCTCACTGTTGCGGCCTCTCCCATTGCGGAGCACAGGCTCCGGACGCGCAGGCTCAGCGGCCATGGCTCACGGGCCCAGCCACTCCACGGCATGTGGGATCTTCCCGGACTGGGGCACGAACCCGTGTCCCCTGCATCGGCAGGTGGACTCTCAACCACTGCGCCACCAGGGAAGCCCAAAAAACATGGTTTTTAAATGATGGTTAGTTTACCTAGTTCATCTGGGACCTTAACGTTGCTTTAATCATTGTCTAAAGTTTGTGGGAGGTTTGTGGGAGAGGACAGTTGGAAGGGGCCCCATGGAAAGAAAGGCTTCTTGTGTGAATTGGAAAGCTGGGTGGGCTGGAGACTATTGCCTTCTTCCAGTTAGATCTCTGTGGCATTTGCCCAGTGCCAGGGAAGAGCCTGCTGGCTGCCCTCCCTGAGGAAGAAGACGCCTGTGGAGGGAACGGGGCCTGGTAGGCTCTCCCCCTCTTTGCTGGGCCATCTGCTGTGACACAAGATGAGGTAGAGTTTGGCCAGTTTAGACCTCAGGGATCCTCAACCTCAGCACTATTGATATTTTCGGTTTGACAGTTCTCTGCCTTGGGAGCCTGTCCTGTGCACTGTAGGATGTTGGGCAGCATCGCTGGCCTCTACCCCCTGGATGCCAGTGGCACCCTCCCCCCAGTTGTGACAACCAAAACTGTCTCCAGACATTGTCATGTCCCCCGGGGGGTGGGAGGAGTAGGAGTGGGCAGAATTGCAGCTGTTAGGACCCCCTGGATGAGTGGAATGTGTACACTCTATGAAAAGCCATGCCCCTTACTGTCCTTAAGGTGACTCATCCTGTCTTTAAAAAAAAAAAAAAGAAAGAATGAAAAAAGAAGAACCTGCTGGGCAAGAGATTCATGTTTGGATTATGTTCTTAAGTCTGAGTTCAGCTTCTCATTTAGCAGCTAAGGAAGTCTTGAGCTGTTGGAAGAAAGCATTTGGGAAGTGTCATGGGCTGACGTGTTTCCCTCTCCAAATTTACACGTCGAGGTCTTAACCCAGCACCTTAGCAAGTGACTGTATTTGGAGACAGGGCCTTTAAAGAGATGATTAAACTAAAACGAGGCCATTACGGCGAGCCCTTAACTAATCTGAGTGCTGTTCTAAGAAGAGGAGATTAGGATACGAAGAGAGAGACCAGGCATGAGAGGAAAGCCCATGAGGACACAGGGAGAAGGTGGCCGTCTGCAAGCCAAGGGGAGAGGCCTCAGAAGGTAACAAATCTGCTGACACCTTGATCTTGGAGTTTCCAGACTCCAGAGCTATAAGAAGATAAATTTCCAGTGTCTAAGCCCCCCGGCCTGTGATATTTTCTTATGGCAGCCTGAGCCGGCTAATATAGGAAGCATCGTGTGGTTATTTTGGTAGGTGAGGAATCTCTCGGTGTTTCTGGTAAACCTTTATTTTAGACCGATGATGGGTTCTTTAGTGCTTTTCTTTAGACAGTCCGGTCTCAAGAATTCTCCATAAGCAAAGAGTTCTCCATGCTGCAAAGTCATGTCCACTAGAGCTGAATGCCACCCCCCACCCCCCTGCAACCTAAAACACGTGCCACATGCTCCGTAAGGTGGAGGTGCTGTCCCCAGATGTTTCCTTTTGCTTAAAGAGTTTGCAGGGGTCACATTTCAGGTTGCGCTTCGGGTGGTTGGTTTGTTAGTTCTTGTGACTTGGATTGTGCTAGATTAATTTGTTGAGAATTATAATAGTTGCTGCCCCCTATTGTGTGCTGGTTAGGTGTGCAGTGCTCTTCTAGGAGTTTGACGTGGACCATCCCATTTCATCCTCCTGACAGCCCTACTTTACAGGTGACAAACTGAAGAACGGTTTTGGCTTAGAAAACTTGAAAGCTCATTTCAGTTTTTTTAAAAGGCTCATTTAATTTGAATTTCTGCAGCAAACTGTATTCCGCAACCTGTCTCTATGCCCTTTCCTATTTGAGTTTTCTTGTAATGGCCATTTAGAGGAAGTGATTTTTGTTGAGGGAAGAGGAATTGGGGGTTTGTGACCCTTCAGTGATTTGGAGGTAAATATGTGTGTACTCCATTGTTCCTGGTAGAAGCAGAGAGCAGAAGTGATGTGACAGAGGAAAATTCTGGAAACTTCAAATTATCCCAATCACGGTAAATCCATCAGAAGCATAATATCTGTTTTCAGAGTTAGTTTCCACATTGATCCTTATTTTTTTTAATTCACTCTCTCTGTAGGAGAGACATTCATGCTAATGGCGGGGGTGGGGGAGTGCAGAACATCTATTTCTAAAATGTGTGTACTCACCCTGTAAAAGGAAGTGATTTGAATCTGAATACTTTTTAGCTTTTATACAGTCAGTCGCCATGAAAGTGCAAAGGAAATTTGAAACTGGAGAACCTCCCCCGCCCCCATCCTCTCCCCTCTTTTTTCTGTTCTCCAGATTAAAGGCAGTCAGAGGCTCTCATACAAGGAATGACGCAATTGTGTCCGGGTAAATCAAAGGACTAGGTAGTAAACAGACAACACCACTTGTCCCACCTCGCGGGTTTTTTTTCCCTAAATAAGCTGCTTAAAAAAACTATGCATATGTACACATCCGTGCGTATATATACACACACAGGAAAGTGCACAAATCATAAACACACAGCTTGATGAATTTTCATGAAGTGAACGCACTCCCGTAACTGGCAGCAGATAAACAGGCTCTGACCTCGGAAGCCTCCTCTTGCCTCCTTCCTCCCCCGCCTTGATCTATATCCTGACTTCTAACAGAGATTGGCTGGGCCTGTTTTTGACCTTTAAGTAAATGCAGTCATGTAGCAGATACTCACATCACTCATGCCTGTTAATTCTTGCTCCATGTTTGATTCATAAGGGTTGACCGTGTTGCATGTTTACTGTAGTTTGTTCACTCCTGTCCACCATATGAAGTCAGAGTATGAATAAGTCATTGATCCTTGAACAATGACGGGGAGGGGGTTAGGGGTGTTGACCCCCAACCAGTCAAGAATCCAAGTACTGGTACCGCTTGCTGTCTTTGCCTCAAAAACAAAGGGATTGATAAATGACTCACGCAAGAGCAGAAGCTCAAACAGTTTGAATAGAATAAGGACTCAAACGCTAGTTCTTTTGATTTTACATATTGTGATCTCTAATCAAACACAAACTTTCCCCCAAACTTAGTTAATTTAAAGATGTGTAAAATGAAAATACAGGTACTTTATTTACTGAGAAAAATCCACATATAAGTAAGTGGACTGGTGCAGTTCAGACCCATGTTTTTCCAGGGCCAGCTGTATTCCATGACCCCTCTGTCCCATCTCTTCCTGATGGACAAGTGGGACGTTTCCAGCTTGAGGTCTCATGAATGGTGCTGCTGTGGACCTCCCTGAGCTTATCTTGAGGACATGTATTATGTGGCTTTGTTGGGCCCTTGGGGATATTTGTGTTTAGCTTTAGTAGAAATTGATAGCTTTCCAAATTGTACGAATTTGTGCTTCTCCACCCGGGAAAGTGCCAGATGCTCCACATCCTCATCCACACTTGGTATTTGTCATTTTTCGCTTTAGCCTTCCTCATGGGAGCATAGCAGTATCACAAGAAATGTATTTAAAAAAAATATTTATTTGGGGCTTCCC